CTGAGCCCGAGGCCCACGCGTGGCCTGCTCTAGGAGCGAGATGCTGCGGTGATTCAGTGTCAGAGCTACGGTCTAGAGTTTCCATTTTTCAATAACTGCTTATTTTAGATCAGTTTAGATGGACAGACACATTGAAAAGGCAGTACTGTGTAAGTGTTCCTGTGTCACACTCAGGTTCCTTGTTTTGAACATCTTACCATAGTATGGCAAATTTGCCAGAATTCCTGAGTCAGTACTGATACATTATTTGTGATTACAGTTCAGACTTTACCCAAATTTCTCCCCTTCCACCGAGTGCCCTTTCCACCCAGCACACCATGTCACACCAGACAAAGCGTCTCTACTATTTACTTAGCTCTGTTGATCCTAATCTTGATCTGCTGGCCAAAGGATTGTTTGTTAGGTTTGTTCACTGCAATATTACTTTTTCTTCCACCTTTTCCACACTGTATTCTTTGGAAGGAAGCCACCATGTCCAGTTGTGTGTCAAACAAAAGTGGAGGAGAGAGACCTGGAGCTGAGCTCAGTGTGTAGGCCCTGCGTCCAATCTCCAGTACCACAAAAAGCAAGCAATCAAATAGAACAAAACCAAAAAACTTGATGGCAGAGGATCTGCATACAACATTTTAATTCTCTTCTCCTTCCTCTTCTTCTTCTTCTTCTTCTTCTTCTTCTTCTTCTTCTTCTTCTTCTTCTTCTTCTTCTTCTTCTTCTCCTCCTCCTCCTCCTCCTCCTCCTCCTCCTCCTCTTCCTCCTCCTCCTCCTCCTCCTCTTCCTCTCTCTCCTCCACCTCCTCCTCCTCCTTCTTCTTCTTTTGAGACAAGGTCTTGCTACATAATTTGGTTTGACCTCGAACTCATGGCAACCTTCTTGCCTCAGCCTCCTGAGTGCTGGGGTTACAGGCACGCAGTACCACACCTGACTAGAGGTATTTATTTTATGCCGTGGGTATTTTGTTCCATCTGGTTTGGGTCACTGGAAGCCTTCTCAGTTAGCTCCTGTGTGCCTGTGATGTACCTGTGTCTTTCTATTGCTTTTATTTCTTCTTCAGCCCTTTCTTACTTTCTATGAATGAACTGCCCCAGGATCCTCTTGGGCACTTTCTGCCCCAGTCCTAAAATCTATCATTTCTCTACAGAAGAGTGTCAAGGCCAAATCGTAATCCTGGCAAATGTGTGTCTAGATGCTGGGACAGATCTGGCAGGTGGGCACACATGAGACTCAGCCTGTGCTTTGGAGGGGACTTTCCCAGCAGTGGCAGCCTGATTTGCAAGACCTCAGCTGAGAAACAGGTGACTCACCAGCTCTGCAGGCTGTCTCCTCCCTCCCCCTCTTGCTAACAAGACCGTACCTAAACCAGCTCAGAAGGAGGGACCTGGGTCAGAAACTGTCCCCACCCACGAGGCCAGAGAAGAATGGCCCGGCTCTGGATTTCTACCTATGCAGAGCTGGCATCTCTGCTTTTGAGTGTTATTTATGCGTGCCCCTCTACCTGCAGAGGGATTAAATGGGATTATCCTCAAATTCACGGCTACAATAAAGCTATTATTAAAACCCAGGTAAAAGGACAAGGACATTATAAAGAAGAGAGGATGGGCATGAGTGTGTGTGTGTGTGTGTGTGTGTGTGTGTGTGTGTGTAGTAATTTTGGCGCAGGCACCTGGACTGTGGCAGCTTCCATGGGATCCCTGAATCAAAGATTGCTAACACCAGGAGACCTCTTCGAGATAAACATGTCTCACCTATCATTTTACAGCGCTGAAACTGGTTAAACGCTTTTATAGGAGTCACACACTGTCTTTTGTTGTTCTGGTTTATAAAATCTCTCTTTCCCAAAGAGCAAAAAGAGCAGCTTTCTATGGGAATACAACAGTAGGAAAACACTTCAGGCCTCTAAAACCTCTTTCATTTGGCAGGTGGATAGACATTTTTTTTTGTATAGAGTCCAGGCTAGTCTTAAACTCACTATGTAGCCCAGGCTGGTCTCAAATTTACAGCAATCTTCCTGCCTCAGCCTCCTAAATGCTAGGATCATAGGTGTGGGCCACTACACTAGGCACCGGATGGATAAATTCAGGTGGAACCCTGAAGCTACAGTTAGGATTCTGAGTATCCCCAGACATGGATAGAGGGGATAGAGGATTTAGACCCCAGGATGTGGTCATGCTGGGGATCCCACCATTTCTCCATAGTTAAGATGTTTATGGTTAAGTCAGCAATTTTTTACTATCATCTTCAACTTTGACAGAGAAGGAAGAAAGGAAGGAAGGATACATTAGAAGTCCTGATACTTTTCTTTCCAAGAGATCTAGAGATTTGGATCTATGTAACTCTTTACTTCCAACCAACTCTTTGAGAAATGGAGTTGTCTCTTTTCTTTCTCCTTCCTCTTCCCACACTCTCCCTTCCCAAAACTCATGAATGTCTGACTCCCTGTTGTGAATGTGTGTTGGTGAGTTTTGTACAGACTGAGGTGAAAGCCTGCTTTGGGGATCCAGGGAACGGATTGTGGGCCTGGTGTCACTTAATGTGGCTGGAATAATAAAGAGACTAAATTAGCATCAGGCTACTACTTTTTCTTTTCTTTTCTTTTCTTTTTAGGAGCATATTTTTTCTTTTTATTTAGTTACACTGACACATAAGTACAAGTTTTTGGGTTACAAGTGTTGTTTTGATACCTGTAAACATTGAGTAATGATCCTATCAGGATAATTAATATATCTGTTACTTCAAACATTTGTAATTCCATTGTAGTGAAACATTCAGAATCTTCTGATTATTTAGAAAAAACTATTTGATAAGTGGAGTCACCTTACTGTGCTAAACTCAGGGAAAAAAAAGTACAGTATAGTAGACCAGATGTGGTGATACATGCCTGTAATCCCAGCACTTGGGAGGCAGAAGCAGGAGGATCATTACAAGTTCAAGACCAGTCTGGGCTACAAAGTGAGCTCAAGTCCAGCCTGAATGGCATAGTGAGATCCTGTCTCAAAAAGACAAAAAAAAAAAAAAAAAAAAATACAGTATAGTCACAGTGCATAACTTACAAAGAGAAGATCTTTAATCCTGGAATAAGAATGTATTTTGGTAACTAATAGTTGAGTTTTGACCAAACACAAACAGTTGAGCTCCAGCCAATCCCAGGCCCCCAGTGGATCAGATCATGTCTACCCAAGACAAAGGCCTCACTGTAACTAAATCAAATCATTTCTTTTTTGTTTGTTTGTCTTCTGAATCCACTTTATAATCAGGTCATTTCTGTAGTTTATTTCCAGGTTTGGTTATAAAGTGGAGCTCTCGGATCCCTTTCTATTTTGAGTTGAGTTCTTTTTTTTTTTTTTTTTTTTTTCTTTTTTATCGGTACTGGGGATTGAACTCATGACTGCCTGCTTGCGAGGCAGGCGCATATGCCGCTGAGCTAAATCCCCAGCTCCAATCCCTCCCTTTCTGTTTTGAGTAGTGTCTGATTCATAAATTGTTCTTTGCTTAACCAGTTACATTTATCTAAAGTTTTTCTTTCAATACATAAGAGCACTGAAGCTACCAGTAATGCAAAAACAAAAAAACAGACTCTCATTCTTTTTCACAGAATTAGCAGGTATACATCATCTGTTTCTTTTTAGATCATACGCTTCACTGTTCCTAGTTGTTAGACCATTCAAAACTTCTGTCTTTGCTGGGCATGGCAACATACCCCTGGAATCCCAACATGTGGAAGGCTGAGGCAGGAGGGTTGAAGTAAGATGATTTCAAGGCCAGCCTGGGCTACATAGTGAGTTCAAAGCTAGCAACATCTTGTCTCAAAAAATAAATATCCCCCCAAAAAACCCAACCTCTATTTTGCCTTTTCCACCTTCTGAATTAGGAAGATTAATGTTATCACTGGCTAAAAACAGCCAGCAAAAAAAAAAAAAAAAAAGATTAATGTTATCCACGGAGACTTTGCAGGTGACACTGTCATTGTCATTAGACTCCAAATTGTGCTCTAAATTGTCTTAGAAAGTCTTGGAATTTGTCTTCTTTTGAATCTGCCTCATTCATCTCTAGGAAGCCCATATCAGTTTATATAGTTTGCTGAGGGTCCCATCAACACTTCTAATGCTGAAATGACCAGGGAAGCGTCCACGTCTTAGTTTCTCATCTGCCTGGGCCACCTGTGGGAGAAAGTTCTGAACTTGGTCTAGAAATGGATTCCTCTCTCCTGGAACTGTTTGAAGAGTAGGGTCTTTCGGGAATTAGTCTTGGTGCTGATGTGCAACTTACTCAATGTATCTCCTGTGGAGGCAGTCAGCAGCCCTTTGGAGATGAGCTCTCCAGGCTCTCCCTGGTGGATGCTAAGGGACTGGCCACCGGACCTCCGTGCCTCCGCTTAACTGTCACCAGGCCAGGCTACTACTCTTCAGATGCCTCCGAGGTGACCTCTGTGGACTCCCTGAGGTAAGTGATCTCAGTCTGCAAACACTTTCTAGGACAAGGACAGTGGGTGGCTCAGAAGAGCATAGCAACTGGGTAATTAGTATGTGCTTTTGATGATAAGGAAGATATTACTAGGCAATTTGGGGGTTTTCAAAGATATTCCGATGGAGAATTGTGCTCTAAGAGCCTCATCAGCGAGTTTCTCAGCATCCCGACTTCCATTTGCGGAAAGAAAGGCATTCAGAGCCTGTCTTCAGACGGAGTCTGCAGGAAGCCCAGCCTGAAAGGGAGAACAAACCCTTCTCCCTGTAGAAACTCTTCCTCATCATCTGTTATGGATGTATTAATTGACCGATTGACTGCCGATTGATCTAACCTAGGGCCTCTTGCATGCTAGGCAAGTGCTCTCCACCAAGTGCCTCACCAGGCCCTTTCAGGACCTGGTAAATATTTTTTAGATCATCCTTGTAGTAATAAAATGACTATTCCGACTCTTTGCTACTCGTGAAAACATATATGAATAGGGTTTTTGTTTCAGTGTGTAAAAGGTTTAATTTGAGATGTATTTAATTCGAACCAGTTTATTATGTGTTCTGCAACTGGCTTCTTTCTCCGAACAATACATCATGGATGTCTCTCTCCACGGATGCCTCGATTTGGTGATTCTTTGTGCTCGGACCTGCGCGGCGTTCTAAGGATCAGCCTTCTGTCTCCCTTTCTTCCACTCCGGCGGGCGCTTTGCAGTGGCCTGGCCCACAGGGAGGACCTGGCTGGTGGGCGGGGCCGGGGCCACTGGGGACATGCAGATGAGGGGGGCGGGGCCCTATATAAACCCGCGGGCCGCGTCGGGCTGGCTAGCCCTGCTGGAAGAGACGGGCAGCGGCACCGACCTAACCTGGTTCTCGAGTGCCGCGGAGGCTGGGCCGGGCTGGCCCCTCTGCTTCCCCGGACGCGGGCCATGCCGCCGCGGGAGCTGAGCGAGGACGAGCCGCCCCCGTTGCGCACCCCAAGTCCGTCTCCGCAGCGGGGGAGCGCACCCCCGGAGCTGGGCATCAAATGTGTGCTGGTGGGCGACGGCGCGGTGGGCAAGAGCAGCCTCATCGTCAGCTACACCTGCAACGGGTATCCCGCGCGCTACCGGCCCACGGCTCTCGACACTTTCTCCGGTAGGTCGCCTCCGCGCCGCGGGCTGGGGTGGGGCTGCAGGCTCGTACTGGGGTGGGGGTCGACAGCGATCTCGGGAGGAAGCGGGAGCGCGCCCCGAAGTGGCGCTGCTGGTGCCCGCGACACCCACCTTACTTGGTGTCCCCTGCCCCGCCCTGCAGTGCAAGTCCTAGTGGATGGAGCCCCGGTGCGCATTGAGCTTTGGGACACCGCGGGACAGGTGAGAATACGGGCGTGGGCCTTGCCAGGCCGGGTCTGGGGGCTCCGGAGGGGGCTGGGAGGACCTCCATTATGCAAAAACGGAGAAGGCCTAAGGGCTCCAGGAATGTCGGGCTCCGGCTTCAAGCCAAAAGCAGGTTTCTGCTCCATGTGGCAGGGAATAAATAACCCTGCTAACTCCCTGGCCTTGCCATCCCAGGAGGACTTTGACCGACTTCGCTCCCTCTGCTACCCGGACACCGATGTGTTCCTGGCATGCTTCAGTGTGGTGCAGCCCAGCTCCTTCCAGAACATCACAGAGAAGTGGCTGCCCGAGATCCGCACTCACAACCCCCAGGCACCTGTGCTGCTTGTGGGCACCCAGGCCGACCTGAGGGATGACGTCAATGTACTGATTCAGCTGGATCAGGGTGGCCGGGAAGGCCCAGTGCCCCAGCCCCAAGCCCAGGGTCTGGCCGAGAAGATCCGAGCCTGCTGCTACCTTGAATGCTCAGCGTTGACCCAGAAGAACTTGAAAGAGGTGTTTGACTCTGCCATTCTCAGTGCTATTGAGCACAAAGCCCGGCTGGAGAAGAAATTGAATGCCAAAGGTGTGCGCACCCTCTCCCGCTGTCGCTGGAAGAAGTTCTTCTGCTTTGTTTGAGGAGCTAGGGCAGGTGGCAAGCAAGTGGTAGCCAGGAGGCCACAGACTCCTTGAACCTGGGGCATGGGGCCTTTGAGGGGTGTTACTGGCAGGGCCTGGCCACCCCATGGGACTCAGTTCCCTACTGAACACTGGGGACATGGGCTTCTGACTGCCCACTCTGATAAGCCTGGTTGAGCCTGGGTCCTGGAAGAGGAAGGCTCTGGTTTAGATTTCTTTGGCTCACAGAGAAAACCCAGCACTTTTGATTTTCATGGGATGGCCTTAAAGAGTGTCAGCCATCTCCGAGCAGTTTGGGATCCAGTTCCCAGTTCCTTATATCAGTCCATCTGAATTAGGACACTTGGTTGTGGTCTTCACCCCCACTAGTACAGGTGAGCCTGGGGAACCACAGGTCACCTTAGGGGGCCAGAAGGTGATCAACCTTGATTCAGAGAGAAGTTTGGGATGGAGTAAGACAAGGCCAATGAGAGACAGAGAGGAGCAGACATCCAGGCTGGAAGCTGTGGGATGGGAGGCAGATCAGAGGGCTGGACCTAGAAGGAGGAAGACAAGGAGAGTGGAACAGGTGGGGGGGGGCAGCTGTGGAGCAGGCTGACACCTGGGCTGCCCTCAGGTCCCACGACCCAGGAGGGCGGGGCTGGGCCCTGGGAAGAACTGGGTTTCAGGACTCCCTGGGTGCTGCCCAAACTGGCTAGGCCAGCAGTGGGGCAGGAAGTGAGAGTCAATCCCAGCAAAGGGAGGGGGAGGAGCTGCAGACTAGAGCCTGGAGGAGAAAGGGGTGAGGGACATCCCTTTCCCCAAGTTCAAGGTTCCCCAACCCTAGAAGGTAAAGCAGCACAGTCTGCAAATAAAACCTTCCATTTCTGAAGCTGCTGTTTCTGTTATTTCCTGGAATGGTCAGTCAATCTGCTGTTCCCGATAACCCTTCTTGACTCTAACAGCCTGGATGGACCATTGGGTAGCAAAGGACTCAGGCTAGGTTGAAGGGTGGCGGCTGGACCAGATGGGATAGTGTGATGGGAACTGGACTGGGGGGGTGGTGTGGGACTCCCCACATGGGGCTTGGCTTAGTTGGTTCCCAGGACAGCCAGCGTGGGAAGCAGCCTGGAAACGGGTTTCCCCAGGTGTGAGCGCCAGCACTGCTTTCCCATGACCTCACCTGGTGGGTGGGGCCCCTCCCTTCTCCCTCCTTTCCAGAGCAAGGTGCTAGGCTCTGGGGCAATCTCTAGGCCTCTAAGGTTTCTACTGTGATCCTTCTGACAGTTCACAGGGCCCAAGGTTTCAGGTCTGGGACACCACCCCACCCCACACCCTGACACACATACACACACACACACACACACAGAGCCCCATGCAACCTTAAACCTCAATCAACAGCCATGAGTTGGCTGGACCAGTCTTCAGCCTTGGCACACAAGGACCTAGTGAAGGTTAGGATACTGGCTGTGAACAGTTTGAATACAGTTTTGGTCCCAGCTGTCTGAATGTGGGGGGTTCACCAGGAGAGGACTTGGCAAGGAATAGGGATCAGAGAATATAATCTGGAATTGGATTTGGGCGGGGGGGGGGGAAACAAAATAAAAACCTATCTTAGGGAAGCCATGGCCCGTAGAAAGCAGGTGATATCTCAAGTAAGGTTGCTGAGTGATTGTAAGAGTACCTTTGAACCCCAGAGTTAGGTACATGAAGGTTGTTCCTGTAGAGGGATATTTCTAGGGGACACCTGGGACATTGACTAGACAACTGCTGGGCCAAGTGAGCACTCATACCCATCCCAGTCCACTATCCCGGCCCCCTCCACAGCTACAGGGTGTGTGTGTGTGTGTGTGTGTGTGTGTGTGTGTGTGTGTAAGAGCATAGCTGAGGGCAACCCATTTGGGACCCCTCCTGTCACTCAGGAGCTTTTCCTATCCCCCATTCTCCCCTCCTGTTCCTCATTCCTTTTATCCAATAAATTTTCCTACTCTCAAAAACAAAACAAGATCAAAAAACCCCCATAGCTCAGGGATACAAATGCTAGGCAAGTGAAATCTGAGATGCTCCCCAAGTTGCCTGCCTCCTATCCCCAGAACATCAGCCACTTACTTCCTTTTGTCCCCGTCAGCCCCTCAGGTAAAGATGCTGGCTGCCCATGATAGCCAGGTTCCGAGAGTCCAAGCCCCTGCTCTGTGGCTGTTTCCTCAGCCCAGGCTGGCACGCTCCTCTAGGCCAGAGACTCAGGTTCGAGATCAGGCTCTGACACCATCTCTGACCAGACTAGAGGTTTTCCAAATGTTCTGAGGGTCTGGATATGGTAGTGCATGCACGTAATCCCAGTTCCCCGGAGGCTGAGGCAGGAGAATTGCCACAAGTTCAAGGCCAGTCTGGGCTACATAGTGAATTTAAATCTTCTGAGGGGTCTTGGAGGTGCCATGGTGAGGGGTACTGATCAGGTCATCTCTGGTCCCTCCTCTCTGACTTTCTTATGGTTCCAGCACATCTGTGACACCCAAATTGAAGCCTCCCCTTCTGCCAGCTGCCTATGCCTGGCCAGGACCTCCAGCAGCCTCACCTCTATGGCTCCCCTCTCCTAGCCACTCAGAGTTGCTGCCTCCTGTCACCTCCCTGACTCAAGACTGTTACTTGTTCTGTTGACTTTGGACTCCCAGCTTCTAATTTTGGCGTTCAAGTCCGCCTCAGACTGGACAGCAGGCTAGACCAGACCAGCTTGTCTTAGTGATCCCTAGTTATCTTCCACCTTTGACTCTGAGTCTTGGCTCTTGCCAGATCCCCTGGTTTGGAAAGTGCCTCCTGCCACCTCTTAGAGACCCTGTTGCCCAGATGCTAACCATTTTCTGATACTTTCATCCTCCAGAGGGAACTCTTACTGGTAAAGAGTCCTTCCCGCTCTTTTGGCACACTGAGGCTATTTCTAGTTTTATCTGCTGAGCAGAGCTGCAACTCGTCCACCAAGTGGAGAGGGAGAAGAGGAGAGGGAGAGACAGACAGACAGGCAGACAGACCGACAGACCTTACTGGGGCTCAGTGTAATCTCCCAGGGCTCCAGCTCAGCTGTTGTTTACTGATGGCCCTTAAGTGCTTAGGGATAAAGGGCAGCCAGAGTTCTGGAGGAGTCCTCGAGGATCAAGGTCAACTCCAGGTGTCAGTCAGGTCCAGATTTGCAGCCCTCAGGACTGAGGTCTAAGCACAATAGCTGGAAAGGGCTGCAGAGCCCCTGTGTGGGATAAGGGATTTACTGTTTGCAAACCCACTGGCCAGCTCTCCAGTTCTGCACCTCTCTGTTTAACAGTCTCTCTCTTTCTCTCTACTTTTCTGGGACACTTTAACAATTTGGTTTTTTTAAAAAAAATTTTATTTAAAAAAAACCTAGGCCCTTACACATGCTAGACAAATATTTCACTGTGAGCTATACTCCCAGGCCGTGGAATCTACATTTAAAGGAACATGTATTATGTTACTTAGACAAAATTATGTTTCAAATGTATAATATTCTTAGATATGTCCTTATTAAGGTAAACTGTCTTTGATGTCTATGTAATCCTTAGTTGATTTTTAAAGAAAATAATGCTTAAAAAATAAAATAATTCCAGGGGCAGCAAGCTAAAAAAATATAAAAATTAAAAATTAAGATTAAAATAAAATATTGCTTATTTTTCCCATGATACTCAGAAAGATTACAAAACCTAAAGAAGTAGAAAATTTTAAAAATCCTTTTATACTCTTAGTTCCCAAAGACAATAATAACATTTTGGTGTACTACCTTTTAGTCTTACACGTATATTTCTTTAAACTTTTTTTTTTAATCTCATAACCTGTATACAATTTTATATTTTTTTTATTTTTAAAGAATGAACATTTATTTGCTTTGCATTTCATTCTAGTCAAGTTCTTTGAAGTTCAGTTCTTGCTTACGAAGTAGCTCAAAGTCCCCTTAGGATTTTGATAGTTTTTGTCGGGTTGTCAGCTCTGACTGCAAGCTATAACTACCTGCATACGTCTGTTAACTGCTTGGTCCTGACCTTACATGCTTTCACTAGTGTGTAGATTATCTTCTAACTTTTTTTCCTCTTACCAGTTTGAATGACACTACATCTACAATTGTTTATTATTTTCTGCTTTGGGTCATTGACTATCTATAGAAAAAACAGTTTTCTCCCTTTGGCTTGGTGCCTGGGCCCCAGTAAAATAGCCAGGCGATCTTATGAGGTTTCTGTGTATGGGGTCTCCTCTCTGTTGAAGGATGACTAGCAGTCTGTGGGTGTTCAGTAAATCCTAAACAATGAGAAAGTGTGTACGTGTTTGTGTTTATGTGTCCCTGATGTTGCTTGTGTGTATTTACAGCGTTGCCTTTGTGGAAACCTGAGTAAGCCCACTATTGTGCATGTCTGAGAAACTTTGTAAAAGCTGGAGGCTATACGCAAAATCTGTGTGTCTCTGTGTTCATATCAGGCATAGAAATGTATATTACTTTCAACCATATATGTGCATCTGGGAGTGTGCCTTGGTTTGTCTGTGCCTATGTGTGAGCATGTAGGTGGGCCTGGTTGTGGGAGCTGTGTGTCTATGTGCCTGTCTGTATCTATATTCAGTCCGTGTGGGTCTTTTGGGGGATCTCCATGAGCATCTCTTGTGGGTGTGTAGACTGGATCTGCACTGGTATGTCAGTGTGCGCATGCCTGGAGATGCCCCATCCCTGCCTTCCCCACGGGAGCAGAGAGGTGCCCAAGGCAGAGGTGACGCATCCTCACTGAGCTCCTGGTTCTCCTGGGAACCAGCTTGAGAGAGACCCAGAGCAGACTGCGTCAGGAGCCCCAGTCCCTTTTGCAACCAGCCCTGGCCCCAGGCAGTAACCACTGCTAGGCTTGCACAGGTCAGACCTGCCCATTACAGCTTGGCTGCCAGGAAACCTGCCCCAAGTGGGGCTGCGCTGACGGGGCCCTCTTTGGGCCTGGGCCAGATCCCCTGTTGAACGGAACTAGCGAAGAGCCACATGAGTCACCCTGTAGCAAAGCAAGGAGTGACTTCCTGGACCTGGGCATTGCTCCTTTCTGCCTCTGTGTGCAGCAATACTTAGGCAGCCTTACATCCTTCAATAGTGCCTAAAATTGCTACAACTGAATTGAAAGATAGGCTGGATGCCTTTTATTAGCCCCAGTTTTCAGATGAAGAGACCAGAGCACCAAGAAACAGACCAAGGTCGAGGCAGAGCCAGACCTTTAACCTGGGGTTCAACACTCTTCCCGTGTTCCACGTGGGGAGTGGGGAAATTCTGTTCCTGTAAGTCAAAACTACTTCCCCAGATCTTTTAAGTTTTTATTTTTCATTAAGTTGCTCATATAGAATTTGAACTCATGATCTTCCTGCCTCAGCCTCCCAGAATACTGGGATTCCAGGCATGCACTTCTATGCCTAGAATTGACCTTTTAGCACAGGGTGCTGGGAAACCAGGTTTCTGGGACAATCAGGCTGTCCTGGGCTGGAGAGCAAAGAAGTCAGAGACAGGACTCAGGGCAGGCAAGGCAAATGCCAGCACTGAGTGAGCCTGACCTGCTGGCAGAATACCCTCAGGCTTTCTTTTCTAATCAGTGCTGAAATATGGACCCATAACTGGGATAACGAGAATTCTTTATCAGATTGCACGGCTGCTTTCCCAGGCTAAGTTACCCTCCTGGTCTCCAGAAGGTGTTTTCAGTCATTGTCACTAGGCCTACAAACCTGTGACCAATAAGTCTTTCTCCCCAGATATCCAGAAGACGCCTGGGGTGCTGGGGATGTATCTTGGTGGAACAATGCTTGCCTAGGATGTGGGACATCCTGGGTTCAATTCTGTTACCTCCCTGAAAAGGACAAAAAAAAAACCCTAACCAGACAGATGATTCACTGGTGATGAGGAGCAGCAGAGCTCGGGCCCTGTGTGGGCAGAGGGGTTCCCTAGTGTCCCTTGGAACTGGCAGAAAAGTGGACAACACAAATCCCTCCCAGTGACAGTTGATTCACGATTGAAACAGGGACCCTGGATTCCTGGCACTGTGCACATTTCCTCCCCTTACTTTGGCCAACAGGCCCTGTGCTCCATGGACAACACCCTACCTGCGAAGCCCTGGAGATTAGGCCACCCAGCTCAGTCCCATCCTGACTTGCTGGGTGACTTTGGGTAAATTACTGCCTTTCCTCTCGGCTCCCCATTGTGCAGTGGGGCTGATACTCTCTGCCCCTCCCTGGCTCCCAGGGGACCTGCATGGATAAGCAAGATAATCGCTGAGAACTGATTTGGAGGAAGTTTCTGAGCACCAAGTAGAGGTATCGTGCTGGCCTATGTTTACATGGGTGTGGACTTTTGGTTCCCAGCCTCCTGGGGTTTGGGACCAGCCCTGACAGCTTCTTGGCTTGTGGTTCTTTTGTCCCACTTCCTGAAAAGGACAGAAACTAAGGCCAAGTACTCAGTTGTCTGGAGAAGACGAGACTGCAGAGCATAATTTGGAGCTGTGGAACACTGGCCTCCTGGCCCAGTTATGTGCCCTAGCTGTGTGACCTTGGGCCTGTCACTGTCCCTCTCTGGGTCTTACTTCCTCAACTCCAACAGCTTGCTAGCTCTGAACTCAGAGGGGCATACAGCCTGGTAATCAGAGGCCAAGGTCATTGCTTGAGGACAGAAAGGACCTGGTCACTTAGTCTAATTCCTTTAATTTTCATACACTACCGTAGCCCTCTCTGGGGCAGTAGATTAACCCAACTTATCCTGGTTAATTCAAGGTCATAAACTGCTTGCAAAGAGGTTGTGGGGAGGGGAAGGAGGGTCAGAGTAAACCCTGGAAAGACAACCCCATGTAAACTAGCGGGTCAGCGGTAGAACCTTTTAACCCCATGGCTGACTGGAGCTCCCTTTTGACTTTAGCTGGTCCCTCCCGGTGGGTGACCTCCCTCAGCCAGGCCTCTTCATCTCAACGTCATGATGGTCTCCACCTCCCCCCTTTTTTCCCACCTGACGGCACCTGAAGCTCACGATCTGCTGGCCTCGGACCCTCTCTGCGGCCGTGCCTCCTGCCAGCCCTCCGACCATGGCTGCGTCCTTTCCCAAGGCTCTCTTCCCGCCTCCCTGTCTGTCTGCTGTTGCTCTCTCAGGTCATCCCATCCACTCTTTTTCAAAGCCAGAGGCTCCATGCTCACCAGGCCCAGACCCCTCACCTTTGAGCATGCAGGACCTCAGCAGACCTCACCTGCAGCCAGGCTGCTTGGAGCTGCCAGGACGGCCGCTGGAGTATAACTCCTGTGCCTTTGACTTGCTCCTGACCCTAGCTGTTTATGTTCCTCCTTGTTAAAAAAAAAAAAAATCTCATTCTCACTCTATACCCATGTTATCTCATAATTTATAGACACCAATAAACTGCTATTTCCCCATAAAGTAAGGCATGAGCAAACAACAGCTAAGTAATGATATGAAATCTATGAAGCCGGTCTCCATCTGGTACCAGGAGGGCCCTCACCTTCTGCCGGTCCTCCTGAAACCGCCCCTCCTCCACATGGCTCTGTTTGTGTCGGTGGCTTCATCACACAGGCAGCCTCCCGGGATGGAGACCTGACAGTTCTGCTGACTCACGCTGTCCCTCTGCACAGCTCCCAGTCACGGAGTCTCACGCGGGCTCACTCGGCTTCCTTCTTCAGGTGCTGGAACCTCCCGCTGCTTTCTCATCCCTGCTACGAGAGCCCAGCACAAACTTCAGGGTGTGAGGATCTTCCCCTCTCTCATATATTGGGATACTTTTTATTACTTCAAAAGCAATAGATGTTTATCATAGGAAAGGAAGAGACTGCAGACCAAAGCGGGCATACCGACACACATTAACTGTAGTCCCCTCTACCCGGGAGGCTGAGAGAGCAGGAAGTTGGCAGGTTCAAGACCTATGTGGGCCTTGTTCCAAAAAATAAACAATAAAAAGCGATGGGAGTTGCAGCTCAGTGCTCAGGGCCCCTTGAGTTCAGTCTCTGGTACAAGGGCAGAGGCACCCAACACCTGTCGTTTTATCAGTGAGAGATAATACTGTGAAGATTTGAGCAAATATTCTTTTGCAGGGTTTTGGCTTGCTTTTCCAAACATTTAGCTACCTCTCCTTTTTAAACTCCACAAGGGGCCTCTTTAAATCTTTCCAGGTCTGTTCTCTTGGTCTTGCTATTCTGAGCTCCAGCTGATACACCCCTCCTCCACCAGCTGGCCCAGGTGGGGAAGGCGAGGCCAGCTCTCTCCAGACCTTGTGTGCATTGGGGAAACCAGGTGGACTCTAGGTTGAAGCTGAGCTTCTGGGTTTGGACTTCCAGGTGAGGCCATTGACAGCAGCCCCTCCCTGAGGGAGCTCAAAAGCTTTGTCCTGGGTCTCTTGTCCTGTGGTGATGCGGGGAAGGGGGGGCCGGAGTGGTCCTGTGCAATAGGGCAAGGTCCTCATTCAGGGCTGTTTAAGTGAGCAAGGATGGGAACAGCACAATTTTAGTGTTTATTGGAAGCATTAAAACCAGTAAATTTGGAGACAAATCCCCAGTGTGTAGAAGGTGGGAGGAGGGTTTATGGGGAACAAGATGATAGGGGACCCCTGGCAGAGTTTTGCCCTAGAATAAATTACAGGACATTATGGTGGCAGTTCAACATGGTGGAAGGCCAAAACGGGGATGCTTACCCTGATGCCACTTCCTCCTTCTTCTCTGATTACAACTTTCTTCTTACTTTCCCCATGCGCGTGAAGAAAATTCCAACCAGCCCCTTGAACATCATCAATGCCCACCCCAAGCACCACATCCAGTCAAAGGTCACATGTACCCCACTCCCCCCATATCCAGTCAAAGGCGAAAACCGAACCCTTGCTGGTTGTGGGCTCCTCTCCATATCCTTTAGATAAAAAGGTCACTTTTACTTTTTCTTATATTCTTCTCCTTTATTGCACCAGAACGCTCTAACATTTTGGTGTTGTGACTCGGATTGGCAGAGCGCATTGGCTCTTGGGAGTCACTCCTAGTTCAAGCTGCCCTGTCTATGAACCACTTCTCTTTCCTGCAGGACCTGTTTATTTGCCACCACCAGTCTGCATGCAACACTGACCATCTCATTTAACCACGGGTGAGCCACTTTCCTTCTGGGGTTTTCTGTTTCCATGGGCTGGGCCTACAATGGGTAACCCATTGTCATTCCTGGATAAAAGACTGCAGTTCTCAGGTTCCTTGTGTAAGACAGCCCGAGGCAGAGCTGTTACCCTCTTGTCCTCTGGGACCCTGCCCCACGCTTTTGGTGGCAGGCCAATGAGAACTGGTGCTGGGACCTTCGGTATCACACTTCCAAAATAGGTGATGACTTCTTTTGATAAGTGTGAAGCAGGACAACTTTTACACTTCTTGGGGGGAGCTATAGCTCCTATATCCCAAGGCAAAGTTGCTCTTTTGGCTCACTTTTAATTTGATCATGGGGAACACTATTTCCTGTCCCCCAAAAAGCATACCTTTGGGGTGCCTAGTTCATAACCTTGGTGCTCTTGGCCTACAGAAGGCTATAAAAACCAAAGACCAATCTTTTATTGCCAGGTGGCTTGGCCTACCTACCAGCTTAACGGCAGCCCGTGGCCTAAGAGGGAACATTTGACCCCTGTATTCTTCAAAGTTTAACTTTGGTCACATTGGTGGCAAGTTAGTAAAAATCCCATATGTACAGGCCCTCTTTACCCTAAGGATGTTTCTTCTCTCATTCAGTCATGAACGGCGACCCAAATACTTCTAACTCTCCCTTCCTCCCCACTGGGCCCTGTCTTTGATGTGCCTCCTGTCTTTACTCCCCCTCCCCAATATCTCCAATATCAAACCCTGCAGCTTTCTCAGCCAGAGGTCTCTGTGACCCCTGTGTTGTCCTCTCCCCCTCTCTCCCATAATCCCCAGAGCCTCTGATCCTTCCCTTAGTTTCTCTCCCCAGTCTCCGATTTCTCGATCCCCTCTGCCTGAACCATCTATTCCATTGGATGGCTCTTCTTCTTTGTCTCCTACTTCTGCATAACCATTTTCCTTGCTGGCTCACCACATGCGTTTCAGCCACACAGCAGGCCACATGGTCCTTAGTAGTCATCTTGCTGCAGCTTACATAGAGAACAGCCACCATCTTGTGATCCTCCACCATGTGACAGTGCGCCACCATCTTGCAACAGGTCACAGGGTAAATGGCTGCCATCTTGCAGTTCCTCATCATGTGATCAGCAGCAGCCATCTTGTTGCAGGTCACATGATGACCAGTTGCCATCTTGTGCTCCTCAACATGTCACCACCAGTAGCCATCTTGCTGTTGGTCACCTGGTAATCAGTTATTATCTTGTGCTTCCCTGTCACACGGTGACAAGTGGCTATTTTGTGGTTGATCACCTGGTAATTGCCCACAGATGCCTGGTGGGCAGTTGGCAGCTCAGTGAGCATCCATACCTCCCACTCTCCTGTCTTCTCAGCTTCAGTCCCTAGTCCCTCTTCAGGAACAGGCTGGTCCCAAGGGAGTAGTTCATATTCATGTTCCTTTTTCACTCTGTGACCTACCTCAGATTAACCATAAATTAGGTTGCTTTTCTGTGGACCCACAGATTATATTAGAAAATTTAAATTTATAACTAGTTGTTCTGATTTACATTTCAAGGATATTTATGTGATTCTGAATACCAACCTCAGCTTGCAAGAGGGAGCTCAGCTGTGGCAAGCAGCGCAAACAAAAGCCAATCACAGACATAAAGTAAATACCACTGAGAATGATCCTGGGCCTACTGCAGTGCCTAAACAGTATTCTAATTGGAATTACCAAAATGGAGAAGATTCTTATAAAATACATAAGATGATTAATGTTTAATTGTGGGCCTTAATAAAATAGCTCACAAACATACTAACTATAACAAGCTTTTAGAACAGGTCCAAGAGGCTAATGAAAATCTGGCTATGCTCCTAACTCAGCTTAGGGACACCTTAATTAAGTTTATGAATGTAAACCCAGGACTCTCATAAAGGGACAATTGTTATTAACTCTTATTTTATTTCTCAGTCTGCTGCTGATATTCGTACAAAACTACAAAAGGTTGAACTTGGCCCTCAACCCCCAAAGGGAAACCTTCTTGATATGGCTTTCTGTGTTTTCAACAGAGAAGAGCCTCAAAAGGAGGAAAAAGAAGCACAAAAAAAGAAACTTGCTAAATATCAATCTGACCTTTTAGCAGTGGCACTTGGGGCTCCCAAGACAGGTAAATCGAAACAAGGTGGAGCTGCCCGAGCCCATCCCCAACCATGCTTCAAGTGCAACAAGGAAATGACATTGGGCAAGAGAGTGCCCCAACCCAGGAGTTCCTCTGGGCCTTGCCCTCACCCAGGAGTTCTCCTGGGTGCAATCTCAATGGCCGTTGGAAGAGCGACTGTCCTAACTGCCAGAGTGGGTTAGCCATTCTCTAACTCCTAGCCCTCCTCACCACCAAATTTGTCGCTGGCTGATCTATTTGAACTTGATGGAAGACTGATGAGGCTCAGAGCCCACAGCCCCCGTTAAGGCATCTTTCTCAGAGCCCTGAGTCTCACTGGAGGTGTCAGGTAAGATACTATCTGTACTTGGAGACATGTTCTTCCTGAATTTTCAAGCCATTATCTTAAGTCCTCAGTCTTTAGTAGGTGTTGACAGCCATCATACACAACCTCTTCAGACAGGCCTATTCCATGCAGGTTCCAGACTCTCTTCTTTACCCATAGCTTCCTAGTAATTCCAACAGGTCCCCCACCCCTTTTAGGTAGGGATCTTCTTCAAAAGCTTAACTTCTCCTTTACCTTCTCCCTCCCCATAGCTTCCATCCCCCAAACACCCTCACAGTATGCCAAAAGCCATCCCTTTCTCTCCTTTCTTCTCTGGTCGGTCCCATAGTTTTGGTTACCTCCAACCCTACCTGTGCTACCTATGCTATGCCTATTTTAATTTGTTTCAGGGATTCTTCAATTTTTCCTTGTGTTCCCCAATATCCTATAGCTCCCGAACATTTACAGGGACTTAAACCTATAATGGGACTTAAGCTATTATCTTTTTTTTTCCCTTTTTATCGGTACCAGGGATCGAACTCATGACTGCCTGCTTGCAAGGCAGGCACTTATGCTGCTGAGCTAAATCCCCAGCCCCGACAATGGTTTTCTTAAACCTACCCATTTACTCTATAATACTCCCATTCTCCCACTACTCAAGCCTAATGGGTCATATGTCTGATACAAGACCTTAGGGTAATCAATGATGCTGTTACCCCAATTCACCCAGTGATGCCAAACTCTTAAACCACACTCTCTTATAGCCCTCTCTCCACCACTCATTTCACAGTCCTAGATCTTAAAGATGCTTTTTTTACCATTTTCCTACACCCTGATTGTCAGGATTTCTTTGTGTTTATGTGGGGTGAGCCACTCTCAGGTCTCAACAACCTCCTTGAACAGTGCTCCCTTAAGGGTTCAGAGATAGTCCTCATTTCTTTAGCCAAGCTCTTGCTGCTGACCTTGCAGCTCTGGACCTCAAACCCAGCATTCTCCTTCAGTACACTGATGACCTTCTCTTGTGTTCTCCATCCTATACATTAGCCATACAACATGCAGCCAGTCTCCTAAATTTTCTCGCCAGTTGTGGTTATAGGGTTTCTCCTGCTAAAGTCCAAATAGCTTCCCCAGAAGTCAAATATCTAGGTTTCTCTCTCACTCCTACCACTCGTGCCATCACTACAGATTGCAAGGTGGTTCTTTAAAATTTCCAGGTGCCCACAACCAAACAACAGGTTCTACTTTTCCTAGGTTTACCTAACTTCTTTTGTCTCTGGATTCCTAACTTTGCAGCTCTAGCCCAACCCCTCTACAAAGCTTCCAAGGGCCCCTTATCAGAACCCCTGGACCCCACTTTGCCCACACATGCCTTCCTTCATAAACTGAAAGAGGTTCTCCTGAGGGCTCCAGCCCTTACCCTTCCTGACCCCACCCAACCTTTCACTCTATATACTACCTCTCAGGGCCACAATGCTGTAGGTGTACTAGGGCACAAAAAGGGACCTTCCTTTCAAGTGGTAGCCTTTTTGTCAAAACAGACAACACAGTAAAAGGATGGGTACCTTGTCTCCAAGTCCTAATGGCTGCAGCCCTACTGACACAGGAAGCTAAAAAGTTCACATTAGGACAATATATTACAGTGCACTCACCTCATCATCTAAGTGAGCTCATCTCACATAAGACACTCCCTGCCCTGATGACTCCTCACTTTCAACAGGTGCACTAGTCCTCTCTCAGGACTCTTTTGTCTCTATTGCAACTAGTGGTCCTCATAACATGGCACCTTTGCTTCCCACCTCAGAAGCTACCCTCACCATGACTATCCTGAGGTCTTACAGATGACTCCCTCCCCTTCCCCTCACATTAGTAGTACGCTTCTCTCTTTAGCCTTTGACACATGGTCCATAGATGGCAGTTCAACAAACACAGGCAAGCAAAAGAGAGTAGGGTATGTAATAGTGAACCCGTCAAAAATCAGAGACTGACCCACTGCCACTTGGGACATTTTCCTAGAGGACAAAACTTATCGCTCTTACACAGGCCCTTACACTAGCAAAAAACAAAATCATAGATATATACACTGATCAAAGTATACATTTAACTCCCGTGCCACTATCTGGCAAGAAAGAGGTTTTATCAACACTTGGGGAACCCTCATCATTAATGCACCTCTTATCCTTAAACTCCTAGAAGCAGCACAACTCCCAAAGCAAGCAGCAGTTATTCATGATGGAGGACACCAGAATTCTGCAGATCCTATTGCTCAAGGCAATGCCTTTGCAGATACATAAGCCAAGTGAGCTGCACAAAGGCTACTTATCCTTCTCATCTTCTCCTGTTAGTCCCCAACACTCTACCTCAACCTAATTATTCACCAAAACAACTACAATTACTTCACAGACCAGGTTACACACAAAACACTCAGGAATGGATTTTCCAGGGAGCAAAACTGTTCTCCCAGATCAGCAGGCCTTAGACAGCATCACTGACTTGCACAGCTGTTTCCATGTGGGCTCACAGGCCCTAGACAGGCTCTTGGCCCCCGTAGTTACATGTCCTTTCCTGAGGGCTATCATCCTTCAGATTACTCACACCTGTCATCTCTGTGTTAAAATCTTTCCTCAGGGACACACAGCACCTCCTTCCTTTCCTACTCATCAATTTCACAGACACACCACTGGTCAGGCCTGGCAGGTAGATTTACACACATGTCCCACCACAAAATTCTCAAATCTCTTCTCACCTTTGTTTGTAGTTTTCCAGGATGGGTAGAGGTCTTTCCCACAACCAGGGAGACAGCTGATGTAGTTACTAAAGTTCTGTTACAAGAAATCATCCCAAGGCTTGATAATGGTCCAGCCTTTGTTTCTCAGATCACTCAACAAGTATCCTCAAGCTTACTCATCACCTGGTGCCTACACGTTCCATACCATCCACAATCCTCAGGAAAAGTAGGAAAGGCAAATGCCTCATAAAAACACACCTCACAAAATTCGTTTTAAAACTATACCAACCTTGGCCTCAATTTATGCCCCTAGCTTTAGCCAAGTGCAGGGCTCTTCCCCGGGCTCCTACATTTATAAGCCCTTTTAAACTCATGTATAGCTGACAGTTTCTACTCCACAATCTTCCTACCAAAGGATGTAATTCCCTTGCTGAGTACATCCCAACCCTCTCCTTCCTCTGACATTTGTTACAACAATATGCTGATCTCTGTCTTCCCCAACCCTCTGATGGGACCAAACCAGATCCTCCCATAACCCCAGGAGATCTAATTTATCTCAAACGTTTACGTCCACAGGACTACACCCAAAGTGGAGTGGCCCCTACCTGGACTTCCTTGTAACTCCAACAGCAGTCAAGGTTGCTGGACTGCCATCCTGGTTCCACATCACTCAGACTAAGCGGTGCCCTCCCAACCCTGAATCTAACCATCCTGAGTGGTCATCCCATCTTCTACCTCCCACCCATCTCCATCTCACCAAGGCCCCACAGCCACAACTTTCAGGCTAAGTCATGTTTTATATCCTATTTGGTTCCTGATCCTTTACATTCTATTAATTATTTTTTTGCTGTAAGACTCTGGGAAGTCTTTCCTAAAGACTCCCACATCATACGTAAAATCGTCTTCATGCTGTCCTGTGTAACAGCTTCTTAGTTCTCTCTACCCTCACCTGTTTAGTGAAACAGGAGACTCCTGTGGGTCTGGGCTCTCGTCTCCCTTACTGCGACACAGCCACAGCCCTCCCCACCCCTACTCTACAGTTTCCCAAACATGATTCAACTGTCAGGCCCTATATTTCTCATGCTTCCTATTCTTTCCAGCTCAACCCCTGGACCAAAGATAAGTCTTACCCACACTTTCAACTTTTACCCTTTCAGATGGGGGAATAATTACCTCTGGTAACTCCACCTCTCCCAACTCCACAGTTTTTTTCAGATTCTGCCTCACCATGCCCTGATGGAATGACCTATTTGGATCAAGGGCACCTTTCCTTCTATCTCTCCTGGGTCCTTTAAATATGATAGTGGCCTCCTCATAGCACCTTGTCTTTTTATTTCTCCGATCTAGGATGCAAGTGTTCACCAATGATAAAGTTGTCCTGGCTGAAACACCTGGTACCAGCTTCTACATAGACATCAACCGTCATCCCGTCATCCCTCCTGAACCCCACCATGGCACCCCTGTTCAGCAGGAAGTAGTAAGAAAGAGTCTTCACCCTTTTCCTAACAATAAAAAGATGGGAATGAAAGAGTTTTGCCCTAGAATTATTACAGGACATTATGGTGGTAGTTCAACATGGTAGAAGGCCAAATCAGGGATGTTTACCCTGATGGCCACTTCCTCCTTCTTCCCTGATTACAACTTCCTCCTTCCTTTCCACATGAAGAAAATTCCAATCAGCTCCTCTATTGTCATCAATGTCTGCCCCAAGCACCACATCCAGTCAAAGGTCACATATACCCCACATCCCCATATCCGGTCAGAGGAGAAAGCCAAACCCTTCCTTGCTGGTTGTGGGCTCCTCTCCATGTCTTTTTTTTTTTTTTGGTGGGGCAGGTATCAGGGATCAAACTCATGATGTCACACTAGCCAGGCAGGCACTTACACTACTGAGCTAAATCCCCAGCCCCTCTCTACATCCTTTAAAATAAAAAGGCCACTTTTACTTTTTCTTATATTCTGCTCCTTTATTGCTCTGGAAAACTCTAACAATCCCAAACAGGGTGCCTGGAGGATCCAGGCAAGCTCCTAACCACAGGCATGGCAGGCTGGAAACCGCTTAGGGCCTGGCTGGCTGCAGAGGATCCCAGGCTTAGTGCCTGGCCTAGCCCACTGCAGGGTGTAGGCAGACTGTGGACAGGGCTCCAAATTTAAGCAAGATGCTAGCAATTTATATACATATATTGAATTCCTGACTGTAAACCTATAAATGCTGGCAACTAGTTAAAGGAATTAAACCACTGTTTTGTTTTGTTTTGTTTTTGTATCAGGGATTGAACTCACAACTGCATGCTTACAAGGCAGGCGCTTATGTTGCTGAGCTAAATCCCCAGCCCCTAAACCACTGTTTTGAATAATTGTGACTGAAGGCTGCAAGTGTGCAATTTGTTTTTTTGTTTTTGCAGTTCTGGGAATTTAATCCAAGGCCTTTGCACTAAGTTACATCTTTAGCCCTCTTTAGCCCTCTTTAGCCCTCTTTCTTTCTTTCTTTCTTTCTTTCTTTCTTTCTTTCTTTCTTTCTGTTTAATTAGTACTGGGCATGGTGGTACATGCCTGTAAGACTAACACCCAGGAGGCTGAGGCAGGAAGATCACTATGAGTTTGAGGCCTGCCTGGGTTTCACAGTGAGTTGAAGCCCAGACTAAACTAAATAGAAAGACCCTGGCTTGCTACCTCCTACTTTATGCCTGGGCTCACTTCTCTGCTTAGTCCCCAAGAGATCAACTATGTGGCTATCACTCACCTACTTCTTCACCTTCCCTCTTAAGGCTTTAAGACAAACTGAACAGCTTGGTGGTCCCCCAAGAAACAAGATCCACAACCTCTGCTGCCAATTTTTGCTCCTTGTGGTGTTATTTTGTTTGGCACACCCATACTCACGTCCATATATATGCACCTCTCAGTTTTTCCCAATTATTCTAATACAAATGACATAAAATTTATACTATGTCCAGGCATGGTGGTGCACACCTGTAATCCCAGAACTCAGAAGGCTGAGGCAGCAGGATCACTGTGAGTTTGAGGCCAGCCTGAGCTACATAGAGAGCTCAAGTCCAGCCTGAACTACATAGTAAGACTGTCTCACAATTTTTTTGTGTGTGTACTGAGAATCAAACTCAGATCTTGTGCTTGCCAAGCAGGCACTGTGCCACTGAGCCATATCTCTTTGTCTGAAAAAATTTGTTTGTATCATGTTTTTTCCCTGGCACTAATTCAAGTGTCTTACTTTCTATCTACCTTGGCTATTTCTAAGTATCCAGATCAGTGGCCTTAAGTATATTCATATTGTTGTGCAATCTCTTCCACAATCCGTTCTCCAGAACTCTTTATCTTGCAAAACTGAAATATTATAGCCACAAACAGTCACACCCTAAATGTCCCTTACCACAGCAATGACCACTCCACTTTCTGGTTCTGTGATTTTGACTACTCTGAGTACCTCATATGAATAGAATCATACATTATTTGTCCTTTTGTAACTAGTTTCTTTCTTTCAAAATACCTTCAAGCTTCATCTGTGTTGTACATATGTCAGAATTCCCCCCCCCTCTTGTATTCCTATGTAGTAGTCCAGGCTGACCTTCAGTTCACTATGTAGCCCAGGCTGGCCTTGAACTCATGGTGATCTTCCTGCTTCAGCCTCTGGAGTGCTGGGATTACAGACATGCATCACCATACCTAGCAGAATTTCCTTCCTTTTTAAAACCCCTCATTATATCTTTTGTGTGTATTCATGTTGCATAGCCATTTACCTGTCTGTGGACACCTGGGTCACTATTGTGACTAATCCTATTGTGAATATGGGTATATATGTATCCCTTCCCATAGACCTTGCTCACCTACCAATCCCTCTTGCCTGAAGTCATTTCACAACCTTCCTAATCTCCCTCGCTTGACCAGCCTCTGCTTCTTTCCAACAGCCATTTGTTGGATGCTGAGTATCCACAGCAAGGTTCAGCGTGAGGTAAGTGGAAGACAGTCCCTGTCCCAAGGAGCCTGGCCCAGATGAGGGTGCACACACTGATTGGGCGCTGCTGTGTGCAGCACAGCATGGGAGGACAGGGCAGCTGTGAACTTTGGCTGGAGAGCTGGGTCATGCATAGGCTAAAGTAGGATCTTTCCAGAGCCAGAAGGGCATTCAAGGTAAAGGCAACTGGGAAGGCAGGGCAGCAGGCAGAAAGTTCCAAGAGTCATTTGGGTGCGGACAGAGGAGAATGTGGCTAGGGTCCTGGGAGATTAGATCAGTTTAGGGACCAAATTATTATAGCATTTGCATCCACACTGCCTGCATCCCAGATGATAATTGCAGGACAGCATGTTACATCTCAGCCCTTATTGCTTGGCGCCTGACACCTGCCTAAGACTGAATTCCCTGTAACTAAACCCTTGCAGGACACACAGGACCGAGTCGTTGTGAGAGCGCCCCCTAGCGGCCACTACACGGTCCCACCTCTTCTGTCCAAAACTAACAGCGCACCAGTAGCTGGAAATGAATCTTAGCCTGGCATCATCTCATTTGATCTCCACCCTTTCCCGAGAGGAGAGGATGTTCACTCTAGCTCAACATACACTAAGCACTTACTCTGTGTTGATCACTGTTAGAGGCGCTGGAATAGCATTTGAGCCCATTAATCACTCAGCCCCAGAAGTACTTAGAGAGAACCAAGAAGCATTTGAGCCCATTAATCACTCAGCCCCAGAAGTACTTAGAGAGAACCAAGAAGAACCAAAGACCAAAGGAAAGATCAGAGGAATCAAATTTTGAGTCCTAAATGATAGATGAGTGCCCAGCAAAGGAGATTAGGAAGGAGAATACAGTGCCCTGTGGAAGGGAACAGACAAAGGGCTCCATCCCTGCCTGCTGTCCACCCAACATTTGTCCAGCAATTACCATTAACTGAGGTCACAGAGGGTGAATGAGGTGCTGGAGAACAACTCACACCTGGCAAGAGGATAGATATTCACACAAGGAAGGGTGCCCCATGTGCGGGGTCCTGCTGGCAGGCAGGGTGCGAAGTGTGGAGTGCCAGCCAGCTGTGCTCTCCAAGTGCAGGGCCTTGAACTTGAGCTGAGGGATGAGAAGGGGTGGTGGGCTGGGCACACAGCACGGTGGTAGAGAGGCATTGCCCATCCCTCACTGGCTGCTTCCTCACAGGTGTGCACAGCTGTGCAGGCCTTGAGCTGTGCCCTGGGGCTTCACGTACGCACCTTTGTGTTGCTCACAGGCAACCCCAATCTGTCCTGGAAGATGAGGCTGTGGCTTTGCACTGTTGGTGGTTGGATCCAGTCCTCCCACATCAGCTCCAAACCTTGAAAACTTACATATCCCAGGGGCTGGGGATTTAGCTCAGCGGCATAAGCGCCTGCCTCGCGAGCAGGCAGTCATGAGTTCAATCCCTGGTACCAATAAAAATGAAAAAGACAAAAAAAAAAAAAAAAAAAAAAAAAAAAAAAAGAAAACTTACATATCCCATCAGTTTCCTCCCCTGGATATTGGGGATAATGATACCTTTGCCTCGAGATCTTGTGCTGAGCCAATTTGGGATGTGAAGAATTTCACTAGTGCTTCCCAAGTATAATACTAATTTTACTTTATTTTTTGAGACAGGGTCTCATTTTGTAGTTGAAGCTGGCGTTGTACTCAGTATGTGGCTCAGGCTGGCCTCAAACTTACAGTAATCCTCTTGCCTCGGCTTCCCTTGTGCAGGGATTACAGGTTTGTGCCACCTACTAAATTTCTAATGATTGGCAGTCTCTAGCACATAGGAGCTCAGTGTAATTTGTGGATTAGAAGTATGATTCTAGCCAGGCACAGTGACACACATGTAATCCCAGAACTCCGGAACAATGAGGGAGAAGGATTCCAAGTTTAAACAAAGCCTAGGAAATTTAGTGAGATCCCGTCTCAAAATAAAAAAATAAAAGAAAGAAAGAGGATAGGGATGTTGCTCAGTGCAAAGGTTCTGGGGTCAGTTACCTGTAACACACAATTTTGGAAAGGGGCTGCACACAGGAGGTGGCTTGAATGGAGGGGAGTGGGTTGGAGTGTGCTGCTGAGCAGGGGCCCAGAGGCTGGGGATGAGCTGCATTCCTGTGAAGCCAGAGCTTCTGTGGCTGTGAAGGATGGTAGCTGGTGACCTGGACTGCATCAGGTAGAGTGAAGGGCCAGGGTTTGCCAGGCATGGTAGTACCTACCTGGGAATCCTAGCAGAAGCAGAAGTAGGCTGCAAATTTGAGGCCAGCCTAGACAACTTAGTGAAGGTCTCAAAGTAAACAATAAGAAAGGTTAGGGATATAGCTCAATGCAAAGGGCCCATGTTCAACCCCTAGTACTGGGGCCCAGGGGGTTGGGAGTAAGAGCCAGGGATCCAGCCTGTGCGTTCCCCTTTCGAAGACATGAGCCTAAGACTTGCCTCAGCTAAACAGGGTTGGTGAGTGCTTCAAACACACTGCCTAGCAGCATTTGGCCTTCTCTGACCCCTGCTCTCAGGGACCTCTCACCAGTTCTCTCCAGGGGTCAAACCTGACACACCTCTCCACCCTGAGGATGGGGCAGTTTCGGGAGAGGCAGGAAAACCTGCTGAACTGGGTGGCCAAAGGTGGAACCGGTTAGATGGGCAGTCTCATCTCCCCCCAGCAACCTCATCCTGCTCCCGTTTCAAAGAACAAAGGCAGAAACCATTTCATCTTATTTATTTTTGCAGAGCTGGGAACTGAACACCCAGGGCCTTGTGTGTGCTAGGCAAGCACTTTGCTGCTAAGTTTTACCCCCAACCTCATATAACTCCTTTTTCACATGGAGTCCACAGGACCTGTGTAAAGCCCACGAAGGGCTGGGGTAAGATGTTGGGGAGCCCTGAGGCCAGGAAGTGGAAGATGCAGAGGAGCCTCTTCTAACTCTGATTGCTTGTCTACGCTCAGCTGGGGCTGGTTAAGTGAGACAGTGCAATGCTGAGGGAAGAGGAAGGCCGCCATCCTTTTTTTGGGGGGTCTTTTTGAGATATCATCTCACTATGCAGTTCAGGCTGGCCTTAAGCTCACTCTGTAACCCAGGCTGATCTCAAACTCACAGTGATCCTCCTGCCTCAGCCTCCCAAGTTCTGGGATTACAGGTGTGTGCCACCATGCCCAGCTTGAAGGCCTCCATCTTCCACTCCTCTCACCTCCACAGCAGTAAGTACAGACAAAGCATCCCCTCTCCAGTGTTGCGGAATCAAACTAAGGGCCTTGGGCACGGTCAGCACACACATACTCTACCACTGAGTTCTGTCCTCGGCACTCTAAAAGCAGTTCTTTACAGTACAAACTACACAGGGAAGTCCTCCTCCCAGCCCTGGACTGTGCAGAGTTGAAGGGCAGCTACAGAAGATAGGGTTGGTTTCCAACACCACCCCAGCTTCCTTCCCAGAGCCACGGGGTGGCTGCAGGCAGCTTTGAACACAACAAAAGCTCAGCTTTGGGCGGATCCATCTATGTACAGTACTGGCTCAAGGGTTTCTCGCTGCTCCCAGACCCCTGAGCTTTCTCAGGAAAACTGGCCCAAGCTCCCTGAGACTTCTCCAAGAGAGCAAAAGCCTCTCTTCTGAGGCGCAGAAGGCTGGGAAACAGGCAGGAGGAGTGTGGTCCCGAAGTGTCCCCAGTCTTCAACAGCAGGAAGTGTCATGGCTCAGAGGGGCCGGGTTGTGTGATTATAGACCAGCCGTTCTGTGTCTTCGGTAGTGGAGACAGTGGAGCTGGCAGGCGTGGGAGGAGGGTGGTGGCTGTGCCTTTGGAAGTCCTTTCTCTGGTTCTTGAAGAAGCAGTAACCCAGGAGGGCTATCACCACTACAATGCAGGTGACCAGGAGTACAGCAATGGTCACTTCTACTGAGCCTGCCGATAGAAGGGGGCAGAATGAGGCCTCCCATGGGGCTGGGGATTTAGCTCAGCGGCATAAGCACCTGCCTTGTAAGCAGGCAGTCGTGAGTTCGATCCCTGGTACCGATAAAAAGGAAAAAGACAAAAAAAAAAAAAAAAAAAGAATGAGGCCTCCCAAGGCCTGCCTTGTTCTGATCTTCACCCAGCTCGAGAAGGGACCAAGGGAACAGACGCCAGACATGGAAGCACATGGGCAACCAGCTCAGGCCTTCAGCACGCAGGCATGAACTCGGAGGGACAGCTGGGGGGCTCAGACCTGGCTCTAAACTGTTCCAATTTCAAGGGGCTTAGGAGAGGACTGGGCCTCCACAGGCAGACAGCTGGCACGCACTTTACTTCCAGCCCTTGCTATTTCATCATGGCACACTGTCCCTCTGGAGACCTTCAGGGTCCCTCTCCACATGCCTCAGGCAGCCGTGGCCAGTCACGCGGACTGTATCCCCAGGGTGATACCTAGGCATCCACTTCGGCAACAGGAAAAGATCAAGCCTTACCTACGTTGGGAATGGCGTTTTCCCGCCGCAGCCCAAACACATCCTTCTCTGCAAAATGGAAAAAGAGACGGTGGGCTCTAAGGGCTCCGGGGTTCAGCTGCTCCCATGGTCCCAGCCCCTCTGCACCGTCATCTCTCACGACCAGTGCAGGCACTCATGATGGAGGGCACACACACACCCTGGTACCGACTGCGACACAGCAGGCCTTCCCTCCACACACCCTAGCCCGCCACCAGACTCACTGGAGATGCCTCGACAGGATTCCAGACATTGCTGCTCTTCCTCAAAGTTGTTCTTGTTGCCGTAACAACCACCGTAGGTAAAGCGGTCGCAGTGTTCACTAAAGGGGTTGTAGTACCAGCGCGGGATGCTCTCCTGGCAGACCCCTGTATCTGGCAGGTCCACGCAGTGCCCTGGGTAGGGTGAGGCAAAGAGCTAAGTGAGCACCCAGGGCCACCAGGCTCACCTGGCTGCTACCCCTTACCCCTTCAAGGGCTGGGGGGTGCAGAAACACTCCCTACTTCATGCCAGGAAGACAAATCCTGGACACTAACACAGGCACAAAAGGAAACTGCATGGACTCATATATTTATTTCTTCTTCAATTTGTTTTAACTTTTCTCACTGTGTTAATGTCTGTTTTCTATCACTGTTTTAACAAAGAAGATGCGCTGGGGCCAGAGATTTAGCTCAGCAGCATAAGGGTCTGCCTGACAAGTGCTAGGTCATGAGTTTGATTCCTGGTACCAAAAACAAACAAACAAACAAAAACAAAGAAGATCGGCCTCAAGGTCTGAGCCTTGGTGGCTAAAATGTCCAATGACATTGTTTTATTATATTTATTTTTGTCATTAAGTTCAACTTGTGGCAAATCATTGCAGTTTTCCACTTATGGCATTAGTCAGGGGTGCTGGTGCACACCTGAATTCCCAGTACTCTTGAGGCTGAGGCAGGAAGTTGCAAGTTTGAAGCCAGCCTGGGCTACATAGTGGATTCAAGCCAGCCTGGACTATACGGCAAGGCTCTGTCTCAAAACAACCAAGCCAAAATAAACACCCCCTCAAAAAATTTTTTTCATGGCACTGATACGAACTTTCCTTTTTGGTACATTAAGCTAAAAAGTTAAATTACATGTTTTGCAGTGGATGTGGCATCAATTATGAAGATGTCCAGCCAAAACTAGTGATGTTTGAGAAACAGTCACAGAAGGCAGCTAGGGCACCCCTCCCCTGACTCTGTGCCCTCAGCCTGGCAATGTCCTGCAGGCACTGCCAGAAGGAATGAGTGAGGACAGCGGTGCCAGCAGGCATCCCTGGCCGAGGGCACTGGGGGCCCTCACCTTTGTCACTGGGGAAATGGATGTTCTGGAGCTCATCAAAGCCAGTGGTATCTGCAGAGATGAAAGGTCAGGGACAGATGAAAGGGTCAAGGTTAAGTCCAACAAGGGTTTGTCCAGGTTCAGGTGCCAGAACGCCCATCGTGCTGCCCACCCTTTCTCAAACCCCAGGCCTCACACTTTTCACAGCTGGCCTCATCGGAGCCATCAGGGCAGTCTGGGGTGTCATCACACTCCAGGAAGCCATCAATGCAGCAGCCATCGCTGCAACGGAACTGGGTGGGCTGGCAGCTGCCTGAGCACACTGGGAAGGGGGGAATGGCAGGGGGTGAGCTAGGGCTCATCCCGACAGGAAGGCACTGGGTTGGCAGAGGTGGGGTCTTTGTGGCCCTCCCGTAGGACGGGGAAAGGGTGGGGAGGGCAAAGGCAGGTTGGTGGGGAAACATACACAATAGGACTGGACACCTAGTGGGTGAAATAGGGAAAGAGGAAGCCCACCTGCATGATGCCTCTCCATCGAGGGGCCTGGGGAGAAAGAAAGAGAAGTCAGAGCAGGTGCGGCCAGGCTCTGCAGGAAGAGAAGATGGGGTGACTTCTCTCAAGGCCCACCTTGCACATCCCGGCAGGCCAGCATGCACTCCTCCTCCCGGAGGTAGTTATTCTTGTTACCCAAGCAGCCACCGTAAGTGAACCTCTTGCAGATTTGCTCTTTGGGGTCGTAGTACCAGCGGGGGAAGGAGCCCCGGCAGCGGCCCACTTTGCTGGAGGCGAGGCAGTAGTCTGGAGCGGGGAGAGCGGGTGAGGGGTCTGCAGGGGTCAGCAGGGCGGGAGGTTGGGTGCTCCAGGTGCTACCTGCCCTCCCCTCTCACCTTCTGTCTGCTTGGCGGACAACACAGTGATTGTGACGTTTGTGGAGCTTTGTGGCTCGTCTGAGTTGGCAGCTGTCAGCTGGAACAAGTAGGTGCCTTCCTTCAGTCCCCAGAGCTCCAACTGGTCCGGCTCTTTCTTCTGCACACAGGATTGGCTATCAGGCTGGGCACCCTCCATGCCCTGAGGCTGCCCCAGGCCTTCTCAGCCACATACCCACCCACCTTGGGAAGCGCAGGAACTTCTCTGCACCCCACCCATGGTAAGGGAGCTAGCCAGTGTCTCACCTCTATGGTGACGCTGGTGTCACCCTGAAGTAGGTGCCAATCTGTGTTGCCCAAGTCCTTCAGCACCAGGGGCTCCTGGGGTTGTACCTTCAAGTCTATGCCCAACCAGGCCCTGGGGATCTGGGACCCTGGAGGAAGATGGAGGAAAGGTGAGTTCTCACTGAACAGACTAAGTGTCTTCTGGGGGCAGGGGGTGACAGCACAAACCACACCTGGGCCAGCCTGGGGCTCAACCATCACCTGGAGAGCAGGTAGGATCGTCTTACTTGCTATTCAGAGACACTATGCCATTTTTATGTGGCAAAACCCACTTTCTGAAACAAATTACTGAACACCATGTGCTATCTGATTTCCTTTAGGAAGGAAAAGTCTGTGTGTGTACTTGGAGAAGTAAGCTTGTTTTTATTTTCTATAGTAAGCAGGTACTTGTGCTAAATGCTTTGGAAGTTAAAGTAAACTGGCTGGGTATGGTAATGCTTGCCTGTAATTCTAGCATTCAGAGAGGCTGAGGCAGGAGGACTGCCAAATTCAAGCCTAACCTAGGCAAGTTAGTGATGTAGCACAAGCTTGTCTCAAAATACAGAATAAAAAAGTCTGAAGACTGTTGCTCAGTGCAAAGACCCTGGATTTACTAAAGAGAAGAAGGAAAAAAAAAAGTTAAAGTAAACCAGGCATGGTGGCTTATAATGCTTATAATCTCACCTCCTCAGGAGGCTGAGTAGCAGGCTCCAGCAGAAGATCCTAAGTTCAAAGACAACTTAGCAAGACTGTTTCAACACAAAAAGTAAGAAGTGCTGGTGATGTAGTTCTGTGATAGAACAGCCCTGAATTTAATCACCAGTACTGAGAGAAAAAGAAAAGCTAAAGTATTAATTCATTAAAAGGCAAATAAGATGGGCTGGGGATTTAGCTCAGTGGCATAAGCGCCTGCCTGGAAGCTCGAGGTTATGAGTTTGATCCCCAGTACAAAAGAAAAAAAAAAAGCAGATAGGAAATGCGTGATTAAAAGTCACTGCACTCACTCCGCTAGGCTACATCATACAGAAAAGCCCACCTGGAGAGAGACTGTGGCCCTGGGAACTGGGTACCTCTGCCACTTTAGATGGTTACGAGGGGGCTACATCCTCCCTTGACCTGACACCTGTGCCTATGGCTTTCTCAGCTCAGGGTGAGGGGATAGGACAGAATGACAACACAAAGCAGGACTCCCTATCTGTAGCGAGTTGAATGGTGGCCCCCAAAAGTTGTGCCTTGGCAGACCCCTGGAGCCAATTATGTGACCTTATTTGGAAATGGTCTTTACTGAAGTAATTAAGTGAAGGATTCCCAGATGAGGGCAACCTGGGTTAGCTGAGCAGGTCCTAAATACAATGAGAAGTGTCCTTATAAAAACAAAAGGACACGGGGCAAGAAGAGACTGTCAGGTGTCGACAGTCAGAGACCCAGGGATGCAGCCACGAGCCAGGGACACCAGAAGCAGGAAGAGGCAAGAAGGTTTCATTCCTACAGTCCAGGGAGCAGTGCGTCCTTGGTCACACCTTGATTTTACACTCTGGCCTCCAGAACTTCCAGAACCATGAGACAACACATTTCTTTGTTTTAAGCCACTAGGTTTGTAGTAACTTGTTACTGCAGCCCTAGGAAATTAATAGTCCTGGGCAGGGACTACAGGCCAGCGGGCAGAAAAGATCTAACAGCACGAAGCCAGTGTTTACAAGGCAAAGCAGCAGACACAGACACGGAGTGAAGGAAGCAAAGAGGCCACTGCAGGCCAGGGAGGAAAGGGCTTCTGTTTGTTTTGCAGTACTGGGGATTGAACCTGGGGCCTTTGCACTGAGCTACAATCTCCTTTTTATTTGGAGATAAGGTCTTGCTAAGTCATTAAGTTTTCTTTTTCTCTTTTCATTTTCTATTTTTTGTTTTCCGAGGCAGGGTCTTGCTAAGCGGTTCAGGCTGTGCTCACTTTGTAGCCCAGGATGGGTTTGAACTTGCAAAGATCCTCCTGCCTCAGCCTCCCAAGTGCTGGGATTAAGTCACTAAGTTTTCTAAGTTAGGCTTGAACTTTTGCCTCAGCCTGTCAAACTGCTGAGATAATAGGTGTGTACCCACAGACCCTGTTAGGAAGAATTTAATTTTGTTTTTGCTGGGTGGGTAGTGAGAACAGTATGGGGTGTGGCTTATGACAACAGAAAACATGCAAAACCAAAGCAAGCAACTAGGGATTTGTGAGGCTACTTAGATCGACAGTAGGGAGACCAGCCAGGCTGAGACAAATCTTCAAGTACCCTAGATGCCAGGCCAGGGTGTTTGGACAGAGCAGGGGTAACATTCAAATATTAAATAGTGGTACAGAAGGGACAGACACTGGACCAAACTTGGAGGCCTGGCAGCAGCACACAGTGACCTTCAAAACACAGGTCCGTGTCTACAAGGCCTAGGGAGTGGCCCGGGGCTGGAAACTGGGAGCTCCTGCTTGGGCAGCAGCTGTTCACACATCTGTCTGGAAGGGTTTCTGTGCATTTGGGGCCAATTTTCTGTGCAAGGGCATCAGTTCAGGGTAGATGCAATAGGAGGGGTCAGAATCACAGGGCAGGGCTGGGGATACAGCTCAGCAGCACAAGTACCTGTCTGGCAAGCACAAGGTTGAGTTCAATTCCTGGTACCAAAAAAAAAAAAAAAAAAAAAAAAAAGAAAAAGAAAAAGAAAAAGAATCACAGGGCAGCCAGGAAAATGGAAAAGGTGGTAGTGAGAAACACTAGCAGGCCTCTGCCTCTTGCTTCTCATAACAGGCTGTACGCACTGAGGAGGAAGAGTTCTGGCACAGGCGGAAGGGAAACCAGATTAGGGGGAAGGTGTGGGTTCCCTTATAGAGAAGCTGAATCTGAAACAAGGATTCACCAACCAGGCATGGTGGGGCACACCTATAATTCCAGCACTGGGGCAGGTAAGGCAGGAGGATCACTTGCGTCAGAGGCCAGCCTGAACTGCATAGTGAGACCCCATCTCAAAAAACAAAAACAACAGGGCTGGCACAAGGCACTTGGGAGGCTGAGGCAGGAGGATCATTGTGAGTTCAAGACCAGCCTGGGTTACAAAGTGAGCTCAAGGCCAGCCTGAACTGCATAGCAAGACCCTGTCTCACAGACAAAAACAAAACTTAAACAGAAAAAATGATCCCCATCTGTATAGGGTTGGGGACTCATATGACCTATGGGCTGAATCTGTTGTTTATTTTATATTATTTTTATTTTTTCAGTACTGGGGGTTAAATTTAAAAACCTTGTACTTGTCAGGCTGCTGAGCTATACATCTGCTGTTTTTAAATGTGTTTCTTTCTTTTTTTTTTTGGTGGTACCGGGGATCAAACTCACAACCTTGCGCTTGCCAGGCAGGTGCTTGTGCCGCTGAGCTAAATCCCCGGCCCTTGCTGTTTTTAAATGGATGAAGCAATAATCTTTGTATCTATCTATATATCTATGTGGCTGTGATGTAACTCAGTGTTAGAAAATCTGCCTAGCATGTGCAAAGCCCTGGGCTCAATCCCAGGGCCACCAAAAAAAAAAAAAAAGAAAAAGACAGCTGCAAGCCAGAATACAGCCTGGCCCCTGTCTACACTGCTGCTGCTGCTTTCACATTACCGTAGCAGAGCAATCATGACAGAGACCTACATCACATAAACCCTAAACTATTTACTAACTAGACATGCATGAAAGTTTGCTAACTCATGGTCCCCATCACCAGCTTGCATAGCCACTCACCATACCTACATCCTTATCCTGGCTTCTGATGAGAAAATTGACACCTGACAGGTTAAACAATTTGTCCAGGGTCACGGCTTTCTTTCTTTCTTTTTTTTTGGTACCAGGGATTGAGCTCACACTGTGCGCTTGCAAGGTAGGCACTTACACTGCTGAGCTAAATCCCCAGCCCCATGGCTGACTTTCTAAACAGTGCATCTGGGATTTGAACCCAGGTCTTTCTGACTCCATTGCCTGTACTTGGTCCAAAACATTATGCTAAGAGGAATCGTATCACATACAGGTACAAATTCCCTATGATGATTGTGATCATTACATATATCTAAATTGTACCAATAAATTTAATTTTTAAAAAACACAAAAAAGCTGCAGGTCACCACCTGCTCAGAGGTGTGGTTTTGCTTGCTTTTTAAAAAAAGCTTATGTAATATGTGTACAGAATATAAAATCTGAACAGGTAGTGATAATTAGGTCACCCTTTCTTCTTTTCTTTTCTCTCTCTTTTTTTTTGAGATAGTCTCCCTATGTAGTCCTCCCCAACCTTGAACTCACTATGTAGCCCAGGCTGGCCTCGAACTGTTTCTTACCACAAAAGCACCCACTATTACCACTTTGTGTCTATGTATATATGTGAATGTCAAGACAGTATTTGAGCCAGGCATGGTGGTGCATGCCTGTAATCCCAGCACTCTGAGAGGGTGAGGCTGGAAGATCACAGCGTGGGCAATTTTAGAAGACTTTGTGTCTCAAAATAAAAAATAAAAAGGGCTGGGATGTAGCTCAACAATAGAGTGCTCTTGGGCTCACTGCCCAGTACCACACACACACACACACACACAGACACACACACACACACACAAATAGTATCTGAATTCATAGCTTTCCTTCCAAAAATCAGGGCACCTTAGTTTTTGGCATTAAAACAGCATAACAGTGCTCACTAGGTGATGTGCTGACACATACAAGATGTGTTCCAAGTCTTCATTATTAGAATAAATGAGTTGTACACATGTTCGAGCTAAGTCTGGAGATGAATTCATACAAGTGGAACAGTGTCCAGGGTGACATTTTTTTTTTTTTTTTTTTTTTTTTGGGTACTGGGGATTGAACTCACAACTTCATGCTTGCCAGGCAGTGCTTATGCCACTGAGCTAAAGCCCCAGCCCCAGGGTCACATTCTTACAGATGTCACCAGAATGCTCTTTGCAGAGGCTCTGCAGAGTTTAAATGGAAGGGTATGTCTGAAGCACAGAAAAAAAGGCTGGTAGGAGGCTGAGTCATAGAAAAAGGCAGAGAAAGTAGAGCCAGTGAGGGACTCAAGAAGGTGGTCACAGAGATAAGACCAGGACAGATGGTGACACTGTCTGACACTGGTAGGTCCAGAAGGGAAAAGTTTGTCAGGAAAATGTGTTAAATGGCCAGGGCACCTACAAAACACAAAATGAAAACTGGTTGCCTGGGACTTAGGGAAAAGAAGGCAAGGAGAGGAAGAGGAATGGAAAGTGGCCCTCTAGCAGCAACCCCAGCCCAGGTTGGCCCACAATCAGAATTCCCCATGAGACAAGCTGAGAAGGCAGAGGCTGGGAGAGATGTTCCTCCTGCCTTATGTGGTGCAGAAAACCAGCTTCTGAAGAGGGGAAAGCAGATAGCAGCACCCCATCCCTCCCACCCCCACTAGGCCCCCAGGTAAAAGGGCAGGCAAGTGACACTACTGACCTGGGGCTGAATCAGGACTGCCCCTCCCCCTCACCTCTGTCCTCCTCAAGCCTCAGGCCCCAGGACCAGGGGCCAGTATGCCCTGCCCTGCCACTCCCAAAAAAAGAGCAAAGGGCTAGAATGGCAATAAAACTGGCCCTTCCTCAGCTGCCAGGCCTCAGGACATCTCCAGGGAAACACACTCATCACCCTACGCCACTGCAAAGAGGGGGAGGGGAGAGAAGAGACCAACAACTTGGCCTCTGGCTCCAGGCATCTTGCCAAGTGCGGCCCATCCACAGGCAGAGAAGCAATGAAATGAAGCAATGCATGCTGGGGAGGGTTTCTCAGTGTTTCTTCCAACACAAGAATCAAAGGCTTCGAAGCCCTGACCATGCTTTACCTTATCTACCTCAACCCCAGCTTCCATCTTACCAGCTGATACTGGAGTTCCTGACACGCTCACAACTGCCTCCAGTCCCAAAGCCCTGGGTCCCAAGGCCCTGGAGCACTCCAGGGGGCTCATAGTCTAAGCTCTACCTAGCACTTCAATCTCCAGGAAATCCCCAAGCCACCTATCCTGTGCTAAAATTCAGTCCTGGTAGTTTCCACATGAAGAAGGTGGCCCCTATCCAGCTTGGCTCCCAGACAGACTCTCGGGCTGAGTATTTAGTTCAGCGGCATAAGCACCTGCCTTGCAAGTACAAGATTGTGAGTTCAATCCCCGGTACCACAAAAAAAATTTTTAAAAATTCAGACTCTGGCCTTGCAGAAGGACTCCCATGGGGCCTGTCAGAGCAGGAAGGGCACTACCCATAGTAGTCATGGTCACTTCACATCATTACCACCTACTTATCTGCTGCTTCCTCGTGGAACAGGCTCCAGCCCAGGCCTAGTGGGGCTCAATGACCCAGCTGAGAGCTCAGATGGTATACCCCTTCCTAGAATACCCCACTTTCCTCTTGTCAGAGACCCAGGAGAACTACTAAAGGGCTAGGGAGCAGAGAGGATCCTTAGCTAGAGAGACATTCTGTCCCAGGGGAAAGTCTCAAGAGGCAAGTTCCCTTCTCCACTTTCCAAACTAGATCACTTCAGAATCAGCCCCAGCCAGTCTGGTCCCTTGGACTCCCTAGTCGTAGTTTGAGGTATGTGCTGGTCGTGGACTAGGTGTCTCCCAGTAATGTGATTTCCTGTGAAAGACAGCACATGACTTTTTTTTTATTGGTACCAGGGATTGAACTCACGACCACACACTTGCAAGGAAGGCGCTTATGCCGCTGAGCTAAATCCCCAGCCCCGAGCACATGACTTTTGTACACCCCCATGACTCCTAGGCTTACCATTTAGGAGATAATGCTATCCTTGGGGAATTATTTAAGTGACAGGTCTGTTTCCTAACTTAGAACACAGATGACCACCATCAGCACCTAGAGACTGTTGGCCTGGCAGAATGTGTGGTACAGCCATCAGTAAACTACATATGGCTACCTGAGGTTATTGGCTGTCACCTGCTTCAGTCCTGGAGCCTCACTTGGCCTGAAAAGCAGTAGAGAAAATGCAGGGAAAAGCTGAGCAGTCCTATCCCAGCTGCCTGCTCAGTGCTAGGAGGAAAGGGTAGGGGTCCTGGCCCCCACTTTCCCTTAGACCTGAAAGTAAGTAAGAGAACAGATCCCTCGGTTACAAGATCCTAAGTAGGGAGAGTCCTATCTGGCTCACATGCATGTGCACACACACCTGGCTGGACAGGTGACATCCCTCCCCTACTAGGGATACATACCAACAGGCTGACTCATAGAGCAAGCCTCTTAGCCCCCCCCCCCAGCCTCTAGGCTATTATACCCACAATGCCCCCACCCATCCTGGGTCAACCCCAACTGGACTTGTTCTTCAATCGCTGCCATCTGACTGTTTCCCCTCACCACCGCCCAAAACACACCAATCTGTTCCCAGGGGAGAGGAATTAAGCAGTCCTCTGTCTAGCCAGTGGGAGTGACAACAACCAGGTTCACTTCCCAAAGCCTCCAAAGTGCGTGGTTGGTGTCTTTTTGGTCTCCAGGCTGCAAGACAGCTCTGTGTCTGACTCAGCCCATAAGGGCCAGAAGTTGGAAATCTGGGGAGATACTTCCCCTTTCCCATACATGCAGCCCAGAGCCGGGCCTCCTGATGAGCACCAGCCACCTCAAGGCCTCTGAATGTCCTGAATCCGCAGCATAAGTCTCTCAGATATGCCCCTCCTTCATTACATCCCCTTTTTTTGTTTAGTGTTTATACTGCCTACTTCTAAGGAGGAGTCAGGATGGAAGTGGACTTCCGTGTGTGTGTGTGTGTGTGTGTGTGTGTGTGTGTGTGTGTGTGTGAGATCGTGCGCGCCTGCGCGGCACTAAGTACTGAATCCACCGCCTTCACACCAAGTTACATCCCCAAACCTTTTTTATTTTGAGACAGAGTCTCTGGCTAAATCACTGGTTGTCCAGTCTCAGCTCGAAGTTTCAATCCTCCTGCCTTGGCTCCTAGAAGCTCCTCACTCTTCTCTGACGCTCGACTTTCTCAAAGACCTCATTACCAGCCCCCTTTGTGAGCCTCTCCAGCTCCATCCCACCTCCATACCTCCAAAGCCCTGGTTCCGCAGCTGGCTGTAGGAGTTGTAAAGCTCCCGCGTGAGGTAGTTGATGAAGCCGTCCCTGCGCACGAACTTGCACACAAAGTTTTGCTCGTACAGGCAGTTCATGAGGAAGCAGGCGGAGATGGCGTCCTCCCCGCCGTCGGGCTGCAGCTCCACCAGCGCCAGGTTGCAGCCCTGGGTGGCACAGCAGGCGCGCACGCAGTCCCAGCCCCGCCGCGCCGCGGGGGACCCCAGGAAGGTGGCCCCATTGCTGACCGAGGCCTCGGTGTCCAACACGAAGGCGGGGACCCCGCTGGTGAAGCGGGCCAGGCAGGAGGCTCCCGTGGGCAGCTCAGCAGGCGCGGGCGGCAACCCGGCCTTGGCGTCCCGGACACCGAGGGCGCAAAGGAGCCACACGGCGGCGGCGGCGGCGCGGGCCATCCTCCTCCCGGACGCCGTCGTCCTTCTCCCCAGGGGAGTCACTCTCACAGTGCAGGCCTCTGGGTTCCGAGGGTGCCTGTGACCTGGGGGTGGGAGCAGGAGAAGACGCCGGATCAGCCCGGGAGCAAAGCGCGTCGCCGGGGAGGCGGAGACCCGGCCCCTGCGCGCTCTAGAGCCCCGACGGACGAGCTAGTGGGGCGCCAGAGCCCACGTACCCGGACACGCGCAGGGGCGCAGAGGGCAAAGCCAAACATGCTGGGAGCGCGGCGCCTCCGCCTCTTCGCCGGCCCGGTTACCTGCGCAGGTGAGCGGGAGGGGCCGGGCCGCCGGAGGATCCGGCCCCGCTTCCTGCGCGGCTCAGCCCGCGGCTTCCGCCCAGGTGCCGGTGCCCCGAGATCTGCTACTTCTCTCGCTGTTGCTGGTGAAACTGAGTCAGAGCGACGGGGCGGGGCGAGCGTTAAACCCCTGCGCCGTCGGCCCCGCCCAGCCCCGCTTCCGCCCAGGCCGCTGCCCAGCGCAGCCCTGCGACCCCGGGCCCGCCGCGACACCTGCCCGGGAGGCCTGGGGCGTCCTGTCCTCCCCACGCCAGGGCCCCTGCGCCCCAGAAGGGCATCCTGAACCCCGAAGGCGGGGACGGGGCGGGGCCCCAGCGAAGTTGCGCAGGTAGGGCGTTCTAGGGCTGCAGCCTCCAGCTTCCCTTTCCGGTCGGGGCCGGGATTCCCAGCCCCAGGCCTTGGGCGCTTGGGAAGGGGCTGGAGGGCATGCAAGCGACCTTGCCATCTTTAACCATCCCTGGAGACATCCTTCCCATTTCTTGGGGTCAACACTGCCCAGAAACTGAGGGGTTATCCCTGTGATGGATGTCGCCTCAGTGTCACTGTACATGCACCCTGCTGAACTGCTTCTGTCCTTGGAGCCCAGGCTCCTGTCTCACCAAAGTGGGTGCTCCTGCTCTGAAACGGACTGCCCTCTGCCACTCCAGAGGTGTGGGGGTTCTGGCTCACCGTAGTAACTGAGTCAGTGCCCTTCACAAAACCGTGGACTCCTTGACACCAAGTTCACAGCCCTTCCTAAGTGAAAAGCTGCTCACTACCTGACAGGATTAGTCCTCTTAATGGTGTCTGCCAGCAAAAAGCAATTCCACATGTTCTCCTGGTCGCACCCTTGATCCAGTGGGAACATCCTCCCCATTTCCCACCCAGAGCAGCTGTACCTAGTAGGCCTCGCACGTGAGGGACATCTTCCTTCGTGAACTGGAACAACCTTCAGCTGCTCTCATTATGAGTGTTGGGGGAAGTGGGGTACGCGTCCCCTTCATTAGTTTTATGGGGCGTTTCATAACCCCTGGCATCGTGGGTGCTGTGATCATATGCTAGAAAAGAAGCAAATGATTGTGCAGTTGCTGGGAAGTAAAGGCTTTGTAGTGATTTGATTCCTGCCTTCCCCCATAGTTTACAATAGAATCCCAAGATTCAAGATTATGCAAGAATACACATATAGAAGAATATTGCCTGATGATTGTATTATCAGAGTGTTATCATTGTTTCAATTATGTGCACCATTACAGAAACCTACATTTGCTGGATATGGTGGCACACACGTATAATTCCAGCACTGGGGAGGCTGATGCAGGATGTATCACAAGTTCGACCCTAACCTGGGCTACAGAAAATGAAAAAATAAAGATCTGGGGGATGCAGCTTGATACTGGTTCAATCCTGAGTACTGGAAAATCAAAACCAAAATCTTCTGGGTATGGTGGTACATGCTTGCAATCCCAGCACTAGGGAGCACTAGGGAGGCTGGGGCAGGAGGATTGATTGCAAGTTTGAGGCCTACTTGAACTACATCATGAGTTCAAGGCTAGCCTGAACTAGATAGCAAGACCCCAAGTCTCAAAAGACAAACAAAAATGTACTGAGAATGCCCAAACCCTGTTCATAAGCACGTCCCATATATCACCCAAAATAATCTACTGAACAAAGAAATAGGGACTAGTGTTTATTCCAGCCCTACAGATGAGCCCTGCCAAGCCATACAGCAGGTGGGGATTGCAGCCCAGGTATACCAACTTCTTTGCCTCAGGACCTGGACACTGGGCCTCATGGTTCTTGGAATTCTGATTTTAGCTACAAGTTCTACATTCTCCTCAAGTTCAGTTTGCTTGAAACAAACACTTATTTTCCAGTAATAAGCAGCCTCTGCTTGTGATGCCTTCTGTTATGGTTTGAAGATAGTTTAGCTTTTGTTGAATTTTTTTCCCTTTGGTTCTTGGGATTGAACCCATAGCTCTTGCACTGAGCTGTATCCCCAGCCCCTCTTTATTTCTTATTTTGAGACAAGGTCCTGCTAAGTCACCATGCTGCCCAGCCTGGGCTAGAACTTGCAGTCGTTCTGCCTCAGCCTCCCAGAGTACTGGGAATAAGCACAGCACCAAGCCAAGCTGATGTTGAAATGTGATTGCCGCTGTGGCTGAGTTGGGAGGTGGGGCGCTAGAGAGGTGATTAGGTCATTAAGAGGGATTAATGCCTTTCTTCTAGTCCATATTAATTCTAGAAAGACTGGATTGGTCACCAGGAGAGCAGGTGTTATCAGATGTGGTGCCACCACTCCTCCTGCATTGTCTGTTCTGCTCAAGCCTACTTGCCCTTCCACTTTTTGGCCATTGTTGTGATGCTACCTGAGATCCCTCTCCAGTGACGGTGTCAAATCTTGGACTTCTCAGTTTTGTTTTGTAGAAGGTCTTGCTATGTGGTCTAGGCTGGCCTTGAATTCACTGTGCAGCCCAGTCAGAGTCGAACTTGCAATCTTCCTGCCTCAGCCTCCTTCTGCCTGCATGCCTGTGATCCCAGAATATAGGAGCAGGAGGACTGCTGCAAGTTCCAGGAGAGCCTAAGAGACACATCGAGACCCTGTCTGAAAACAAAAACAAAATCATTTCAATGGGCACCAGCACTCACCAAAGCAGAGCTGAGTTGGTGGTCTCCAAAGTGAAGAGTGTGAGAGACAGAACATTCAGAAGATGCAGGGCCTCAGGTTTTGGTGCAGTGCCAACTGCTGTGAGGACAGCCAGGCATCCGTGCAGGAGGTCACCCATGTATCAGCATGGCCATATACCTCTCTAGCTCAAGGGCAAGTATTGGTGACCAGTGAGTTGGAAAAGTTTCTGGGACCCTCCAGTCCTGTGTACTATGCATTGCAACCACAAAGTCAAAGATTCAATGGATGCAGGGAAAAGAGCTTCGGCTGAAACAACAGCTGGGCAGTTGTGTGGCCAGGTATGTGGACGACCCCATGAACCTTATTCCAACTATGGCCAAGAAGATGAAGGGCCCTTCTCATCCACTAGGAAGAAAAATCATTGCCAGTGACCATCAGGGCTAAATGCAGGAATCTATTTAAAATGAAGAATGGGAATTTTAGTCTTTTAAGTAAAACTTATGAATAAAGTAAGTAAGAATTGCAGCAAGTTTAAGACATGTCACTTGCCTCTGAACCCTGGTTCCTCTATGTTTGGACCCTAGAAAGTGAAATGGAAAAACACTGGTGCCAAAGTTTGCAGGGCCGCAGATACAGATCAGTGACACAGCGTCTGCCAGGCAAGCGCAAGGTCATGAATTTGATTCCTGGCACCAAAAACAAAAAAAAAAAAGTAAAGTTTGGGTGAACGATAACATAAAAGAGCATTTTAGAGCCTCAGTTTCCCATGAGAGGACCTTGTCCTGGCCGTGAGATCTCCCTTGTGGAAACCAGGGCCCTCCAAGCACAGATACCAAGAGGCTGGCAGGTTCTTCCAACCACTTATGACCTGGCAGAGTCAAAGCCAGGTGTCTCTTTACCAGAAGTATTGCAGCACAGCTTTCTGCATGCTATAGCATCCAAACTACTAATGTAGAAGGGGGAGGGGTTTCTAGATGTTCTTCTTCTTCTGCTTCTTCTTCTTCTTCTTCTTTTTTGTTTTTTTTCTTTTTGAGACAGGGTCTCACTGTGCAGTTCAGGCTAGCCTTGAGCTCACTTTGTAGACCAGGCTGGTCTCAAACTCGCAAGAATCCTCCTCCCTCAGCCTCCCAAGGGCTGGGATTACAGGCGTGAGCCACCACTCCTGGCTGGTTTCTAGATTTTCATTTTGCTTTTTATTTTTTTATTTTTATTATTATTATTTTTGTTTTTGCTTTTTATTTTAACAGAAGGCATAAAGTGAGATTTAACTTGCAGAGTTCAGAGGGAGAGCAGGTTAGATAAGAACTCTGGAAGATACCATGTGTATATCTGTTTCTAGCCATCAAGATATAGATGTGCACTTCTTGAAATTCTTGCACTGCATCTTCCTGCCTGGAGACCACTGGAAAACGTGAGAGTCAGTGTCACACACTGTCAGGTGTGGCTTCCCTCTTCCTTCTTCCCTCGATGGATGATGGCCCGCAGGCTTTTGCAATGGTGACAGGACATCCTGGCAGTGACACTTTCCCCTGCAGAGTAAAGGGTTTTGATATTACATAGATGCTGGTATCTGGGAGTGAACAGTGAAACAGGAACTGTTGGTGAGTTAAGAGAGCCATGAAGACTTTGAATGTGAAGAAATCTGGTTTTTACAGAATAGAGTGGAATGAAAGCCTGTACCTAGCATTGCTTCCTTAGCTCCATGAGTTTTTTTTTTCCACAAAGAGAAAAGCTTTATTTTGGCTCAGAGTTTTGGAGGTTTAGTCCACAGTGGTTGGGTCCATTGCTTTTAGACCCATGGTGCCTGAGGAAGCTGTTCACCTTCTGGCAGCCAGGCAGTGTGGACAGAGAGGAAGAGGCAGTATCCACATTTCCACCAGAAGCTCCCTGAGTGAACAGCATTTTACTGAGATAATCCCCTGGCAAGAGGAAAGTCAGAAAGTAAGCAATTTATGACTCCTTTAGAGCAAGGGGGTGTACACTCCTCACTATTACCAAACCGATTTTGCCTGGGGCCTTTTTTTTTTTTTTTTTTTTTTGAGACAAAGTCTTGCTATATAGTTCAGGTTGGTTTTGAACTCACAGTGTAGCCCAGGCTGGCCTCAACTCATAGTGATCCTCCTGCCTCAGCCTTCTGAGTGGTGAAATTACAGGCATGTATCACCATGCCTGGGGCTAGTGATTTGGTTTTAAAATAGTCCCATTTCCCCACCATCAAACCCCAGCATTGTCTACACTGTTTTCTGCTGCTGCTTACGTACTGAAAAGAAAAACAACATAGCAAGAAAGAAGAGACTGGGCTGGGGATTTAGCTCAGCAGCATAAGCGCCTGCCTCGCAAGCAGGCAGTCGTGAGTTCAATCCCTGGTACCGATAAAAAGGAAAAAGACAAAAAAAAAAAAAAAAAAAAGAAGAGACTGTAAAGTTGCCTATCCAAATGGTGAGTGGTGAGAATATGAAATTCTTTTTTTCTTTTAGTATTTTTTTTTAATTTTTGCAGTGTGGGGGATTAAACCCTAGACCTTTTACTAAGCTACATCTTCAGCCCATTTTTTACTTTTCATTTTGAGATAGCATCTTGCTGAGTCTATGAGTTGCCCAGGCTGGGTTTGAATTTGTGATCCTCTTATCTCAGCCTCCTAGAGTACTGGGA